ACAATACTTACTTAATTTTGTTATAACCTGTACAGTTGTTTTGCTTTAACCGACACTGGACGACCAGCAGGGCGCGGGAAGGGTTAACAGGTACTCCGTTCGGATACATGCGACACTAGCGACAATTTATGGTCGCGTTTAGTTTATTAAAATATTAAGTGTTTGTAATAATGGTATGTGGCTATATTTTTCGGCTGGCCATATTCGACCTTATTTGGTCTTTTCATTACCCTGATCTATTGCTGCATCGACCTTCAATTATACATATTGTATCTCCAAATGTGTCTTAGAGAGTGGTCATTAGCATGCTGCAGTTTTTAAATTAATTTCGATTTATTCTCATTAAATGAGAGATTTAGTTAATATTTGTTTTTTAGGAAGGCTTAGAATGGGAACTCTTTTTGTCCTTGTCCGCGTGTTCTTACTTTTTATAACTATATTAATGTCTCCGTTAAGTAAATATGTAATTATTGAAATATGAAATATCAGCCGGGTCCCTAGTTTTTTCAGGAATACCCATTAGACTTCAGTTGATAAGGCATTAAAATAATAAAATGTTAGTGTCTGTTGAATAAATGAAAATCGGCAGAACGTTCTGTGTGAAGGAAAATTCCGAAATATTAGGTACATATTATTTTTAGCGACCGAGGTCGTCCCTGTTTACATCTTTTTCATTTTACGATCGTGGCCAATTCACAGCTCCCGACGTAGGTTTGTCTCTTTTATTCAAAATTCGAACTGCATTTTTTCTCGTCATTTCATAGTACCAACGTTTGTTTGTCTTTCATACAGCCAGTTGCACAAACGTTCATTAAATTTTTCATTAGTTTAAAGCAACATTACCCATACAAATTTGACATTCATTAGTGCTTAAAGGCGTCATTTAACCTTATAGGACGTTTGTGCAACTGACCATTAATGTCGTATTTTTAAACCGTTATCAGTGTTCAGATGATAAAGCTCAGGCGTTACAAATACAATCACACAAGTTGCACAAACGTCTATTTAAATTGTCATTATACAAATTTTCGAATTTAAAACATTCATTAGAACTTAAAGTTATTATTAAACTTTATTGGTCGTTTATGCGACTGGGTGTAAGACGATTAAATTCTCTTTGCTACAAGAAACAATGACTGAATCTTGACAATCGAACGCGAATCACTGTTTGGACAACCGATCCTTAGATTAGACCTTCAAGCGGCCAGTAAGCCAAATATAAATCAAAGACAGCTAGAATAATAAAAAAGTTACAAATAGACAATTCTTTTTGTAAAGAATGTATATGGTATAGATAGACTGGATATGTATATCTTAATTTAACCGATAACAAATTATATTGGTTAGCACCGAAAGTCGAAGTTAACGAGGTTGTGGGCAAGAAATTAGTATCCATATTATGAAACACTATTATAGCATTTCCGTTCAGATGTGTGTGTAGTATAATGGTTTTCATTGAAACCTATTTTTATTTAGTTGCTGATATTTAACGTTGCTTGTAGTTTAAGCTTCTCAAAAGCAAAAGTAAGGTAAATAAAATGTTTCACACCTTATTTCATTACAACTGAAGTGCCACTTTGGCACTTGGCTTATTATTACAACCTTTTAATTAAGTAACTTGCCATTATGTTCGTCAAATCTGGCATTTTATATACAGGTTTAGTTTAGATGACAATGCATGGTTAGATAAGTCAAACAATTTTAAATCAAACACGATCAAGATGGCTGGGTAATTTTTGTGCATAGTCATCATGATATGGGTGTCTAGATAGGGTTCGCGTAGAAAAATACCAATACCACCTTAGATTGTGGAATTTTCTGAACTATCATAACATATGGGTATCACCGAAACAGTTCGGTGTGAGGGTTTTTGGTTTCATTTTAAATGCAATATGGTGAACCATCAAAGATGGAGTAAATAAAAGGAGGCGCTGAAAAGATTTTTATTAAATAATAAAATCATCATCATTATCACCAGCTTATCAATATGTCTCCATTGCTGAGGAGCAATGGATTAATAGGCACAGACCTTCCCTTTAGGTGGAATCGAATAACAATTAAGAATAGATAAATATATAGATGAGTAAATATTCTACATTGACTCGACCGAGAATCGAATACAGGACCCAGTGGCGTAGCGTGCCTTGGCGGGGTCCCGTATAAAAATTTGTCTGAGGGCACTTATGAAGGGTAATGATTTCTTACAAAAGAAATAAATGTTTGTATAAACTGCGCGAATTTTAATATCGATTATTTTGAGATTCTCCTGTTAAAGTAAATTACTTAAATGGAGAAATCATGCAGCCAGCGAAAACCGATGTTGGGTGTTGCCAACTTTGAAACGCATGCTTACGCGGGAAAAAGAAACTGCTCTTTGTGGCTTTTGTAATTTTTGAAATAAAAAGAAATATGGGAAGTTTTATTAATTTTTGCTAACGCATGTTGGGGGCCCCCGTAGTCCGGGGGGCCCGTATAATTGATACGGCAGATACGGCGGTAACTACGCCCCTGACAGGACCTAAGAAATGACGAAACCTTGAAATCCGTGTGTGAGTAACCCAGATACGGAGTTCATAAAAATCGGCAAATGCGAATCGTACTCGCGCCCCAAGGGTTACGTACCACAAAAAACGCAAGAAACAACGTTTGTTGTATTGGTATCCTTAATATTTATTTTATTCTGTATTCGTATTTGGTGTTAAAACTATCTAGCTATCACGGTTCACGAGATACACAGCCAATTGCACAAACGTCCATTAAAATTAACATTAGTTTAAAGCGACAATAGCGACTCTAATGAATGTCAAATTTGTACCGGTAAACAAATTTGACATTCATTAGAGCTTAAAGTCATCATTAATCCTAAATGGACGTTTATGCAATTGACCGACAGTCTGGTGACAGACAGTTGGATGGCGGAGTCTTAGTAACAGAGTCCCGTTTTTATTCTTTGGGTAAAGAAGCTAGAAAATTCAGTTCAAATAATCCGTATCATTGTGGACGTAAGACAGCTTTAATGAGTATTATATCAACAGGTAACGAAGGTTAGTATATTCGAGTATGAATCATATGTGCAACCAGTGTGGTTGCCAAAGCGTCAGGTATTTCCGTCCGTCGACAAGCTTATCTCGAATAATCTGCCATTTTTTTTTAATATTTACCTGCACAAGAAATGAGAAATAAACAGTCAGTCTCTTTGTATTTGTTAACAAAAGAATATTATGTCGTATTATAAGAGCTCTATGACGGTGGCCTACGATTTGGAGGTAGAGACTTTTGGAAAAGCCGACTATTAGATGGGTGGCTAAAAATTTACTATTTTTACTCGGATTCACTTGAAATCGTAAAGACCCAGGGATCCCTTAATATTATGACGAATGTGACCTCTACAATGTGGATGATGACTAATTTTTGTTTCGGCGCCGGGTGGATTATAAAATTATATAAGAGACGTATTTTTTTCGTTTTTTTTTGCATAATCAATAAATTACGTCGATACATTGAGTTTTAATGTCGCATGACGTCACAAATTTGTACATTATCTACACAGTTGTGACATGGCGAACCCCACTCCTTAATTTAATGCTATTTCGGCCGAGGCCATACACCGCGCGGTTCGCTCCCATTTCGGCCCGCCCTGAAAAGGGCAGGTCCCTCGCGGGTTGGGCGGCACATCTCAGAGACACTCGAGACGTACCCCCAGACAGGGCGGAGACGTGCAATGCCAGCTGGTGCGCGAACCAGCCAGCTGCCCCCGACTAGGGACCAGAGATGCGCGACTGTGCATCTCTAGTCTCTTTCCCAAACTCCACTACCTATTTCTTGTTGAATTGGAGTAAAAAAACATATCTAATAATTTTCTATTATCTGATTTACTTACTAAATAGGGTTTTACCAGATCTCATCCCTATTAAGGAACCTTTTTGTTTTTTTTTTATTATCTTCTATATAAATTGGTGCTACTATGGCTTTTTTTACAAAGCCGTGTACAAAATCCAATCGGATTTAAATCGCATCGCAGAGATCTCTGAATATATAGTTGAGAAATGGGCCAAACGATTATTCTTATAACAATCTGCTAGATGTTTCTGGGTGAAATAGAAATACTTTTATTAGTACAGCTAGTGTTGTCTCATTTATCGAATAAAAATACTTTTTTATTACAATCGGATAAGGTAATTTTATATGCCAATAAAAACTAAAATATATTCTTAATTTAAATCTAAAGTTAACTAGCAGAACAATATGTTTGTAATATAAAACTTATTATGTATATTATTACTAATAGCAGTTTTAACACATTTTTATAAATAACTTGCTTAGGATTGAAAACAACTATATCACAATCAATAATTCAATATTGTGCAATTACCATTCAGTGTTGTTCAGTAAATCAATATTATGTTATTAACATTCAGTAATTTTTGTAATATATTACTGTCGGATTTATAGCTGTTGTAAGGCTCTTGAATGAAAAATACTTAAAATGTTCACCAGCCTCAGGTATCACGGAGATGGGACTCGAACTAACATCCTTTCACAATTCCGTCATCGTTGGAAGTCTCTTAAGTAAATAGTTATTCAGTTATAAAAAAGCCTAGACCTCAATGACGAGCTCAACGCTGTCATTGGATAAAGGTTCAATCAAATACAACCGACTTGAACAGATAAAAGGGTTCAGATTATTATAGTAATTGAAGCTCTATGTCGTAACAGAGTTGCAAGCTAACCAGACCTTGGGGCTGCTCTGCACATAATAGCTTAACTGATCTATGGCCATAAAATAGGAGTCTACAATAAGGACGCTATCCTTAAAATCTCTGCATAAACTAACGTGATGTGTAATAAATCTTTGTACGTTACAAATGAATCACGTTACGAATGCGTATACGCGTAAGTGATGAACGTCGGCGCAAATAGATGATGAAGTACATGCAACGATATATTGCAAAAATACTCGTGACGTCACATCGATAATCCAAGCCCATCCCTACCATCCTGCGGTTCCCGTCTCGCGAGCAGCGATCTACAGACTGCCCGGGCGCCCGGCAGCGAATCCGAACGAACGAAACGCACCATCCACAACACGCGGCCGTGTTTACGAACGCAACTGACCCCCTAGACACGAAAATTCGAATTTCAAATTTAGAGTTCCATAGTGCAGTGTTTTGAGTTTGGATTTTTTGGCAGCAGGTGAGTCATAGACACATTCTTATGCATGAATAAAAAAAGAATCAGTTAAAAATAGTTTTTAGTATATATATACATGTACATTATACCTCTATTCTGGCAACGAACTATTTTGTTATAGAAGAATTGAATTCTCCTAAATTAATGTGAATGGCTTGAGGTTACGATATTACTTGTAGTTATATTTTAAAAAAGTTTTTTAAATTGATGTTTATTAGAAATTAACTTCTTCATACCAACCAAATATCACAAATGAATGTAATATTTAAGCTATATTCATTTAAATAATAAAATTTATTAATTTATCATAAACTTTGTCGAAGTGTTTGTATTATAGTTCTTTAGGGTTTTATATTATATTTATAGTTTGATAATGACTTTCAAAAAGCTTTATGGATATTCAAGAAAGGGACACCTAGCTTCATTGGTGGCCTCCTGATACAGGTATTATATGTACTTAAAAGGAGGCACACCATGATGTACTTTATTGTAAATTATGGGAAGATAATAAAGTATTATTATTATTATTATTCATGACAACAAAGTAAACCAACTTTAGCCAGGCAGAGGAACCAAAAGAAAATTCATTGAAGGAATTTAATTATATGATAAAAAATAACGTTGGATGTTAAATCCGAATGTGTAAACTATGCTAGTTTCTTAAAAATAGTCAAAAAACTAATATGTGATAGATTTGTACTATTTCATTCTTAGGTAATAATCTGACACAAAAATTACTTCTTTCAAAGATAATGAATCACCGATTACCACAGCTGCAGGGCGATTCTCTAAAAATCCTCACTGAACATGAATGAATCTACTCACGTCATTTAGTGAAGAAATTCTATGGATTCCATTTTTTTTTGTATAAAAAATACAAAACAAAATTGATTGATTATTCGTGTCTCAGATATATACTATTCCTAATGTAATTTCAAAACTCGCGTCACTTATGCCACGAAACGTTATTATTAATTCAAGATTGAGCGGAAATTGCTTTATAAAGTGAATTCGAACACCTGAGTGAATTCGAATTCGGGTTTGGATTTTTATAGAATCGCAGGGCAGTTTACAAATGAACTAGATCAAAACGAGAAGCTTAAATAAAATGTTGTTAAAATAAAATAATAATAATAATTGGAGTATATTCAACGTTTTGCTTAAGATGTTACCTTTAACATTCATCAATATTAAATTTCTGTTCGTAAATATAAAATATAACGTTATTTAAAAATTGTTTAGTATATGAGTCATTTTGTAACCAACGAATTAACAATAATCGTAAAGGTTTTCTTATATTTAAATTTAAATATAAAAGTAAAGGCAGACGATGGCGAAATGATTAGCGCATTTGATTTGTGATACGGTGATTAACCAACATTTGCAATGTCATAGGATGGGTGGCCAAAATTAACTATTACCAGTTGGAAGGCATGTTTTGCAATTGTTATCAGAGGAATCTTGAGTCGTTTTCATCCACCAATCCACTCTGGACCCGCGTGTGGGTCATGGCTCGCTCTCCTCTATTTGATTACACATTAATTGGCTGATGATGACGATAATACTAAACTTCATCTCTATTTTTTCAACAGAATTTATTTGAATTTTAATTAAAAATAATTTGTTTTTAATCGTTGTCTTAAATACTATTAGTGTCCATAATGCCTCAAATAGTGTGTTGTACTCTGTACATGAAAACAATAATATGGCATAGTTGTTATTAGGAACGTGCTAAACGGCACAAGCCCCATAACACCGTTGCAGCACGGAATTAGAACTATTTGTAAGGATGTCTCTTAAACATTTTAGAAAATAAATTTTCAATTCCACTTTTCCGTTCCATTAAATATTACCAAGCATAAAGCTGCGCATAAAAAGAGAACGAAGTGAAATGACAAGTCAGTCACTGAGACATATCATAAAACGAGAACTAAAGTTTGTACTGTGTCACAAACTTATCTGAACTAAATAATATTTCCCCAGTTTGGAGGATTATAAAAATGATATTAGTCAAGTTCTGAAGGAGTGGTGGGAATTTACGATTTTGGTAATTGTTATACAATACGATCCTATAGTAGTGTTGCTATCCCCAAAACACTAAAAATAATTCTCATTAATAAAAAAACAAACAGGAGAACTGTACGTTAAAAAAGTAAAAGGCATATTTCATACTGTATTCATATAATTTAAACAAACACATTATTTCATTAGTTATCAGGACTTAAATACATATATTATAACATTTATCGCAAATTAAAAAAATAAAAGAGAAATGAAATGAAATAAAAAACTAAATTGTAATAACAGGTGGCCTGAAAATTAATTAAAAAAATTGGAACGAAACAGAAAACAGGTGCATCAATGTGAAACAACAAATCTACTGTTAAAACAGTAGGGTTGTTAATGAACAATTTTAATGATGTAATTATGATCGTGTGAAATTCCCATACTCGAACCTACAAATGACATATTTTGCTAAGGGTTTCGATTTGGCGTAATATTTTTCTAAGGGTTTCTAAGGGTCACGACTCACATTAAAATTTATTTCGTGTCGTAAAACGTTTAGTAGTTTTGGGATGATAGTTACTTCTTTCTTTATGGTATAAAATTCATGTATTTCCTTCTTATGACAAAACGATTACGCCTTAGTTCCAATTTTAGCTACCGGGTCAGATAAGTTTGTGGCGCTGTACTAAGTTTAAACCATTGGCCTTTCATTCATTTCATTTTCCTTTATATGTTATTGTAAATAGATTTACTTTAATTTAGCTAATATAATCATTAGACATTGGCAGAAGTGTGTGAAACGCGTTGATAAGCCTTTAATAAGAGAAGAAGGAGAGACGTGTTCTCTTATTTTGGCCTTATAATGGTTTAAGCGGTTTAAATCTGGTACTTATAATTAGTCCTCGTTTTATAATACGGCGGGTACAAGTGGAGTACAAGTGGTATATTGTTCGAACTGGAGTGTAAACCTTTTTCCTTTTTTTTTAGTTTCAAATTGGTAGTTAAGAATTTATTAATATGAGATTTATGTGTTCGACAAGTGATGGAATCTTATAAGATTCCCTTCTGTCTTCATCAGATTTTCCAATCTCACAGTATTTTATAATATGATTATTATTAGTTTAGGTCCTATACAGTTTATATTTAACTGTAGTCATTGCAGCCTGAAACATGAATTATGACTTACTAGAATTACAGTAGGTATTTCAGCTTGTCAACTTCGATTCTCCTGCTTTTATCTGTTTTGGACTCGTTTGTAAATCAGTGGTACACATTCCACAGAAGATGTTTTTGTGTTTTATTCTCTTGTTTACAATATCTGCAAATATTAGTGCCAATTAATTTCATATGAAATTAATGTCTTGGTTAATTTGCAGTGTTAGTATTTTCCATATTCATTATAATTTAGATATAAAGACAAAATCGGAAAACATATTTTCTATTCTTTTTAGTATTCTCAAATATTATGTAAATCGTCCTGAATTAAAAAAAAATGTTGCGCCACACGTGCGCTCTTTCCAAACATAAATGATTCATTCGTATTTATATTCTTATGGGTATGTAAACAAACGCTAGTTGTCAAATAAATTAAAGAAAATAAATATTTCGTTCCACAAAAAATATTTTTATAACATTTAGGCGCGGATTTAGTGTTTTTTAGCGTAAGATATTATGTTTTCCATAAGTAAAGCGAATAATTAAATAGGTTTGCCTTTGCAAGAGTGGTAAGCGCTATGAAATAAATCGCCCTATATAGCAAAACAAAACCAAACAGTCTTAGTGAAACAGGATGAACTGATTTCTATTTAGTAAATCAGCAATCCATTATTTAACGTAGTAAGTTATTATTGGTGCTTATTTCACTGAACTAAACTATTAATTTCTAATTTTAATTTGACTTTATCATATTCTATTGTCAATGTATACGTCATCAGCTTATTAATTTTTGCTGCTGGAGTAGAGCCTTTCCTTATGGATGGAACCCTATTGAATAGGTAGAATTAGAACAATTGTTTAGGCTTTATATATTCTTAATGAAGTCATTCAAATTATCACATTACACTGTGTATATTATTCTGTGTTCCATTATTGCTTATATTATTTTTTATTCGCGTTGTACATATTAGATTCCATTATACTCTTTTTGTATGCTTTTTGAAAATGGCGAAACATAGATATTGTTCAAGTTTAACACCTTTATACCATGTTAAAGGCCAAAAAACAAATGACTAACCACGCGAGCTAATAATTTCCAATGTAAGTGGTGCCCTCCTATTACTGCAGTGTACTGTTATAATATAATTTCTATTAGTTCTTATTAAAATGAAAAACGCAACATAGACGTTTCCTATCGCATTGTCGTCATGCAATAGGAAACCGAGTCTTGAACGCAATAATGATATTTAATAAAATCAGTTTTGGATTGGACTCCCGTCGGACAACATATTGATCTAATATAATAAAAAGTGTAATAAATCGTGTTGTTCATACAAATAAACGAAGTGTTAAATAAAATAAGTTTTTTTTAAAAGCCATTCCTGACCGCCCCCGTAACAGTGGTGTCAGAAGTGGGATGCCCCCGTAACAGTACCTTATTGTTCGTCGATTAGCTCGGTGGCGTAGTGGATAAGCGCGCGCACGCGAAAGATGTTGTTACGCAATTTTCGCAAGGGTAGGTAACGGATGGGTGGCCAAAAAAATATTATCTCGAGCTGCTCTGTGCTTCGGAAGGCACGTTAAACCGTTGGTCCCGGCTGCATTTGAAGTTGTTAACGCTGCATTTGCGCGTGGAAGATTATGGCTTAATTCTCTCCTCCTTAACCAAGGAAAGCCTGAGTGGGGACGTAATAAGGCTTATGATGACACGGAAAATGAAACGAAATACGAAATTTCTGGGAAATCTGATATTTTATTTACGTGAAAGTTTGTTAGAACTTGAGAAAATCGAAAACAACTAATAGATTTTCACGCGGTTTTAATCAATTAATGTTGTACTT